AAAAAAAAAAAAAAAAAAAAAAAAAAAAAAAAAAAAAAAAAAAAAAAAAAAAAAAAAACGAAGGCTGCTGCAGGAGGGCCGAAACGAATGCGTTATACATTGCAGACAGCGGCGAAACGAAGGAGCAAAACAGACGGCTTGAAAAGAGCTCCATCCTCGCAAATATGATCAAAATATAATGAAATCCCATGTTTATTTGATTGTTGGATGTATGAAGTGAAAACAACAAAACAATGGGTATTAGACTTAAACTCTCACCGGATGACCATTGCGGGCTCCGTGTTAGAGCCAATTTTAATGCTACTACCACCGCTACTAGCTGCAGCTGCTGCAATGCTGCGTCGATCGGCGCACTGCTGCTGCTGCTGCTCCGTGGGAGCCACTTTGATCGACGTCGTCGCTCGCTCGTTCGCCGGCGCCCCGAGACGGCGTCGACACACTTCCTCGAGAAGAGACACTACTACCAACGATCACCACCAGCTTTGAGAGCAACAACAAACACAAGAACCTAATATTCGTCGATGAGACTCTCTTGTTTTTTTCCGCAGTTATTGGAACGAATCAACCGAACTTTTGCACTTTATTTTATCTCTTTGTTACAATCTAATTGCTGGCACAGCTGTACACGACAAGTAGAGACAAGTTGAAACTTAAATATCTTTCTTATCTTTCTTTCTGAGTAATGCTTGCGCTACCTAGTTACCAGTTACTTGAAACACACACATCCACGTAAGCCCGACCCTGCACGACGACGTTGTCATCGTCGTTGTTACCACCATCATCGATGCCTTGGCTTGGCACTGGGGCAGTCTTCTTCCTCCCTTCTTATTGTATAGGTACTTGTACGCACTAGCTACTACGATCACTCTTATTCCCTCATAAGTACGGCCGATGAGGACTTAGTCGCGACGGCGGCGTCCTAACCGAAGCAACACCAACAACGTACAGCTCCTCCTCCATTATTCTGATTATTACAACTGCAGGCCCCCCTTGGCCGCTGAAGAAGATATATTTTCCGTGCACTTCTCTTCTCCCCGCGACGACCCCACGACTGGCTGCGTATAGGCGTATATCCGTCGCAGCAAAGATATGTTTCGTTTCTCTCTCTCTTCTCTTCTCTTCCTCTTTCTATCTAAGAGTCTTTAGTGCCCACTGTCGCGTCCTCCTTTGCTCAACTAATACTTTGTAATACTTATTACGTATATTATTTAAGCCTGTAATGACCCGCAAATGATGCAAAATCCACTCCCTGAACTACTTTTATTACACACAATGCTAATAATGAGTATTTCGCGTAAGTAAGTATATAATTATCAAAAGCTCCGAGCTCCGAAACGTGCAATGTATATACTTACACACACACACACACACCTATAAATGACGATTACATCTATATAGTTAGAACGGCGGGGGTGGATTAGGTGCAGGGTAAAAGAAATACATGTTGCCGTACGTGCAGGGGGTAGACGAGACACGATATTCTCCTGTTTTCGCCTGTTTCAGTCAGCCTCTTATGATTGTTACAACATACTGTAGGTTTTTGTACGTCTCTATATTCTCTTTTTTTTTTTTTTTTTTGTAATTCTCTATGAAATAAGCAGTGGAATCCAAAATAATCATGTGCCAAGCTTCAATATGCACAGAGGATTGTTGCAGTTAATTGATTCGGGTTTTTTTTCTTGTTTGAATACAGGATAAAAAAAAGTACAGAACGAATTGTGACATGCAGTGTCTGTAAGTAGGTACAAGCACTGAGCGCACACGAGTTCAACTACATTTTTGAGTAGCAAGTCGACGTAGGTTGTACTAAGTACTCGTACATACAGGTATTAAAAAAAAGTGGTTGTGGGTTGTGGTGTAAGAGAGTGAAGAGAGAGGTGAGAAAGAATAAGTATACCATAAAAACCTTGACATCGCGTGAGAAACGCGCCAGGCGTCGTTCGCGTCGTTGTTATTTATTTGCACGTTACGCGCGGGATATTACAAACGCGCGATTTTGAAATATCACAAGTAAGGTGATCCTGATAAGTTGTTTGTGAGTTACGTTCTGTGGAGTTGCAAAGCGTACGTACATGTACATATTATATGATGTATCCGTGTCGTAAGAAATTTTGTTTAAAGTTTGCACACAAATATAGTCAAAGAATCCTTTCATCGTGCTCATTATGGCTTATGGTATAGCCAGCTCCAAAATCTACATGAGCAAAAGTGTGCTAATTGTTGAGTAACTTGAAACGCTGCAGTTGTTCAATGGGTTTTAAATTTGCATACATCATTAGTTTTTTTTTTTCCTTCGGTTTTTATATTTACAAAATGTTACAATGCAAAAACTTACAACTTTCCTCTCCCTTTCTTTTATTATAAAATATAATTTCTTACAAACTATAATTTTATGAATGATTCTGTGGAAGTTGATTGATTTGCTGCAAATGTGCATGAACACCCACCATTGTTAATTTTTTTTTTTTTTCCGTTTGTTTTTGTGCCTTGTACCATTGCCACTTTTCATAATTGACTTTATTTACACACTCACACTTTTAAAACTGACAGGTTTCAATTTGTCCTCTTGGTTTGCCATGCAGTCAAGAGATTGTATGAAAAGTACATTGTAAAACCATGAACTTGAGATGCCGCGAGGATGAATCCGTACCACAACACTCCATACGGCATTTCCTGCAATAAAAAAAAAAAAAAAAAAAATGATGGTCCATGAAACAGAAGGAAGGTAATTGTAATTTTTATTAGACAATAAATTATTCATGAAAACCTCACCTGCCACATTTCAATGCTTTCCGTCTCACCAGTCGTTAGGTACTGATAAACATCTTTGAAGTAATAAACAAAAGCATAAAATATAGGTCCAACTCCGAGCAGTAGAATGCCAATCATGTACTGTTGCATGGTCTTGGTTTTGTTTTTCCTAATTGCCGACAGACCAAGGAATGATAGAAACAAACTTAAGCACCAAATGTACTCCCACCACAGGGGCTGGAGGTAAGGAAGACAAAAAAAAAAAAGAAAACAATAGTTGTAAATTAAAATTAGAATCAACTGCAGCTGCTATTAGTAGTTTATTAGAGTAGTGGCAGAAGAGTGGCAGCAGGTCCTCCTATCTGGCTCACTCTTTCTCTCACCACAATAAAACAACAATGTATTGTCACTCTACCAATGATTTGCTTTTACCTACCTGTGGCACTTGGAGCTCCTCTATTTCTAAAACGAATATATTCAAGCGGTCTAAAATATCGGCAGACAATTTAGCCAGCATGACGAAGAAGAGTAAGTAGTGAAAAAATATACAGTATTTCAGTCTTGACTTGTTCATTGCACTGAAAGAAAAAGAAAATCATTGTCAGAAACAGTTCGCATTGTCCAAAAAAAATTGTATGAAAAATAAAAAAATAAAAATAATAGCACAACGAATAAACAATTGACAAAAATTATATTTGTCGAACAGCGGGGGTGCATATTGTAATCATCAGCAGACGATATAAGTATTAAGAGAGCCAGCTGGTGTGTGCGAGAGAGCATCTCGTGCACTCTCTTTTTGCACCTGCACACTTTGTCATTAGATGTAACATGACGCGGCTGATTCAACAACCACGTTTTACAGATTGGGGCACTATTTTTTTTTTTTTTTTTTCCCATCATATATACTTATTGAGAATATAATAAAGAGGCCCACCTAATCTGATAATGCGTGGCAACCCTCTGTCTGTGCTCGAAGTCGGTGCCGTCTGTACCGAGTACCCATTGCTGGTTGCCCCTCGTAGCCATTGTTTGTGTATATAATATAAGCTGGACGTGCGGTTACCTCTCCTGTCACTTGAAATAAACAAATAAATAAAACGAAGAGAGGAAAAAAAAAAAAAAAAAAAAAAATGAAACACCCAACCGAACAAACGCGACAGACGGGCGGGCGGCGGGGGAGGTATGTGTGTCGCGGTAACACGTCCGATGCAGTACGCCCTCGGGGGCGTACGGATGCCTGCGCGCACTCGATGTCAGATGAAAATAAGATTTTCGCCGAGGCTTTCGAAAGAAAAAGGAAATCCAAGGTAACTCTGCATATCCCACACTCCCGGCTGAGATTCTCGGGCTGCTACTGCAGCCTCTGGCTTAAGCTCATCGTGGCCTGCTGTATATGCACGGTCCCCCCGCGGCCGTCCGCCCGTCTGCTCGGTATAGGGTATGTCTCTCATATATACACACTTCTTCCAATACTTACGCTTTTGCTCTTTTGGCTACTATTTTTAAACGCGTGGCATAAGGCAAGTCAGGCGCGCGGCCGGATCTTCTGTTACCTCTCTTCTGTCTTGTCTCCTCTCGAATCGAGCTCTCTCGGGGCATGCATCATCAACCGGCCACGGAGCACGTCGTTGTTTCTCGTCATATAGATGAGTACTCAAACAATATAAAGTTGCATCGTGGTGGTCATCCACAGGGAGAAAGGGCTTGAATGAAAAATGAAAAACCCCATTGTTTACAAAAAACACTTTTTGGCGTGCATTGTACATCTGTAGATATATATATATATATATATGTTGTATGTTTACATCCTGAGAGAAAAAAATACTTGAGGAGCAGACGGCATTTTTTAAAAACACCCCCGCCCGCGCGCGTTTGCAGCGGTATAGCTTTTGTCGGTTGCTCGGTAGACGTCACTGTCGACGATCGAATCATTCGAAGCTCCATTACAAAATGTAGTTCCCATGGGACTGCAGTCTAAGCTCTTTCGCCTAGTCGATGCCGCACCTCACCGAGCAAGCAGACGATAATAAGTTTTGTTAATGACCGTTCGGACTGCGTTACTAACACAAAAGTAACCTCACTGGAGCCACAAACCCCCCCAAGAAGAAAAAGAAGAAATTTTTTTGTTACTTACGAAACGTGAAAATGCTCGGCCAAATTGTTCGACCCCTCGCTCGACGTGCTTTCCAGAGAGGTAATTTATTTCCCCGTGTTCGTGACGAGTTATATAATTCAATGTTTTTCCTGCCCACCACAGCTTCTGTAACGTATACCTACAACGTTGTTCCTTGTACCGCTTTATCCAACAATTAAGACAAATGTCTTTGACAAGTTGTCTTCATGATCACGTGATGTTATTTTTATTTAATTTGTATTGATTATTACTGTGTTTGTAGTGAACGATTTTACAAATCAGTTGCAAGTGTCAGCTTGTTTTTGCGTCAATGACACTCATGTTCATAATACTTAGCTCTCACTCGTTTTGTATGAATACTTTGTAGAAAAATCTTTATTTTTGCGGATATTTTAGTGGGAATGCAGGTACGCAACGATTCTCATGGCCATTCCAATTTCAAATACCCAACTTTTGACGAATGTTGTGTTCCGGAGGGGTCATGGCAAGAGAACTTCAACAGAATGCAGAAAAAGTACAATACTGTATTGGCTGTTGGTCTTGTGAGCTTGACTGCCACTATCACCATTGTAAATATATACATTTTTCTATCATCCCTTTACAAATAATCAATTAGAACTGAAAGATAAACGATAATTTTTTTTATTGTTTTCATAGATTCTCCAGAATGAATTGATCTACTTCAACTATGTTCCACCCAGAGTATTGGATGTTTCAGATTTCAGAATTGAGAAATAAATAACAATATTAATAGCCACAATTTTATAGTTCATGTATGTAACAAGATGTAATAACATGAAAATGAAATCTCGTAAATAAATGTTACATCTTATAAATAAGTTTAAAAAATCCGGCTTCATTATGTACTTTATTTAAAGGAATAAAATCGCTTGTATCATAAATAAGTATTAAAAAATTATATAAATATCATATCTTATTATTTTGAAATAATGTACTTTCGTGTTATTCATGCATTTATTTTTTAAGTGTTTATACACACTTAACTATATTCTAATCAAGTTCAATGAAATTCAAACATCAATTGCAAATCATTCAATCTTGCATTGATCATTTAGGGTATTATGCATTATTTGCAGCATTGCTGGAATCGGCGTTGTCAAACATGTGTCACTAGAGAGATTGTACTGTACTCGAACTCTCGGAAAATGTGCGCCTTGGTTCGACGGCTGGCCGCGGCGGGTCGCCCCGATCAGTGGAAAAAAGTTGTCTCACGCAAAATCTCTAACTCTCTACTCATCTCTGGCAGAGTGCATATTTTTCTCGTCTCTCAAGGAGTACATTAAGTGAAATGCGACTATATTTAAACAGTTAAAGTTTTGATTGAGTTTTGTACGAAAGTCCGGTTACGATATAGCTACGATTCGTAGAGCATACCCCGTAAACAGTAATTAATCAGTCGATCAAGGTTTGTGAAAGTTTACCACATACGAGGTTAGAATCTCGTAAACAAAAAAGTACATGTTAACTGTTCTCCTTTCAACAAGTGCATTTTTGAATTTTTTTTTACATACAATTTGTCTCTTGATTCATCAGAATTTAAATAAAATTTTGACCATTGAAAATTTAAAACCATTTTTTTCAAAACTCATCATCAAATGATGTAATTTTTCATATACTGGATTTTGCACATGTTTTGATTATAAAAATGTGTTAATTTCAATGGATATCGTTATTTAATTAATTTTTTTATATTTTACTATAAAAGAGTTGATATTAATTAATATAAAAATTAGTTCATATTAAAATACTTGTATCAAAGGGTAGTAAAGGTGTTATTTTATGTGTATAGATTTTACCCACTAATTAATATATTTTAAAAAATTGAAAACTTATTTGTGCATTATCCATAGATGTCGAACCTCAAATGCAAATGTGGTTCTACCAGCATCGAAACAGATCCAGCCCGTGGAGATGTCGTTTGTACAGAATGTGGTTTTGTCCTGGAAGATCAAATCATTGTCAATGAGACAATGTTTGAAGAGAGTCCATCTGGTAACATGATGATGATTGGTCATTTTGTTTCAAATGAGAGCTCTGGTGGTGCATCTGGTTTGGGTCCAGGTAAGAATATCAAGAATTTTTGCCAGATACAGTATTATATATGTGCACTTACTTAATCGTGACATTTTTACATTTAGGGTACATGAATAATTCTAGAGAATCAAGGGAAATTACTCTTGCAAATGCTCGAAAAGGAATTGCACACTTATGCAGGCAGTTGCAGTAAGTATCTTAGTGTTGGTCGCAATAAAATTTTAAACTAAACATAATATGATAAAAATTATATATTTTTCTGTTTAGATTAAACAACCACTGCATCGAGACTGCAGTTAACATTTACAAATTGGCTCTTACCGCAAATTTAACTAGAGGTCGAAAGCAAGCTCACAATCATGCGGCATGTGTTTATATTACATGCCGCACTGAGTGTACCACACGTAAGCATATATTACTTTTTCTTTAACGTCATAGTTAGAAATTAAATGAAATTAAATTTTGTATATCTTACAGACATGCTTATTGATATTAGCGATGTTTTGCAAATTTGTGTCCATGAATTAGGACGAACTTACTTAAAATTCACTCAGGCATTGTGCATCAAAATTCCTTCGATGGGTAAGTTTAAATAATTTTTAATATATTTCATACTTCAAATTGCGTTTTTTAAAATTGTTATATTAGTTGCAAATAATTGTATGCCGAAACAAGATAAAAACTAAAACAAATATTTTTGAAAAATTACAGAATTTCGTAAACAATATTATAAATATTTCCATAAGCTCAGAAATGACTGTTTCATGCACGAGTAGTATTGACTGTAGCTGGAAACTAGTGATAGTTGATTACACGAGTGCAAAGCATAATTTAGCAGCGCTTGGCAACGATTATGCATCAGTTATAAAATCATAGAAAGCTTCTTGCACGTTGCTTGTATTATTTTTTAGAACTCAGCATGGCTAGATTCAATTTTCCAATCACTGAAAAGATACAGATACAAATTTTATAAAATCACTGATAACCTTTTTGATAAAACATTAGGAAAAAATCAAGTCAATGTAAAGGTTAAAGAACAAAATATGATTGATCAGCAAGTAGTTTAATTGCTCATACATTTTTCAGCACTTACAGATAACTTTTTATATATCTAAAAGCACTTTTTTAATAATAGTACATACCTTTGAAATTGTCTAATTGATATCTACCCGAACTAGAAAATTTTCAACTTTTACAAGAAATTATCGTTTGTAGAAAATATTTGGTACTTTTCTAAAAAGTAGGGATTGTATGTTGTTTTTAAAAGAATAAGTTACTTATACAATATTATATCATTTATAAATCTACAATGTGAGAGCCTAATATTAACAGATTATGACGTGATTTTTCAGTATTTTAACAAAAATGTATAAAATATATAACCAGTAAGAATTACAACGTAAACCAAAATCGTCGTACATTCAATCGTAACGTACAAGTTTTTGGCACCAAAAGATTTTTCTTTTTTAATGTTATGGTCACTTAAATTTGCAATGACAACTTTTTTCTATAACAAACGAGCTTGCATATCACTAAAAACTTAATCTAACAAACTTTGTAACACTTATCTTAGGCTACATATAAAAAACAAATTGTAAAAATGCAAATGGAAATTTTTTCAACATTTCTTAAGTACAGAATAATACAAAAGTTATCTGGTGAAAGAAATTTAAAAGTCCTCAAATGGGGTAAATCATTTTTATTTTATTGTAAAGCCAGTGACACTATTTTTTTTTTTTTTAATTTTAATACAAAATACTAACGTAAAAAAATTAAAAATACCGCAATAACTTAGTAACACTTAGTCACAATACATCATAAAGACATTTTCACAACTTTTAAATTAGGTAGTAGAATTAAGTGTGCTCTCGCAATTTATTTTGAAGTTTCATCTGCGCTTTCGATATACCGCTGCTCTACTGCATGTCACGCAATATTACTCATGTCTCGGTTCAACAACACTTTTTTTTATTTATAAAAATCACCATATTGCATTAATTTACAATCTTTGTTGTGGTACGACCACATAATCCGTGCAAGACATTTCTCTTTGAGTTTATACGATTGGAGTCCCTACATAAATATCAATATTGCCACGTACGTATGTACGCATTGACGAAAAAAAAACAACACTTTCTACATTGCGCTTGTAAAACTTGTATAGTTACAATAGATAAAGCGAAACAATACATAGCACTCGATAGTAATGGGGTCATGCATAGTGAAAACTTTTGAAGTATTAAAATTCAAACAACAGCTATATTTATATTGTAGTGCGTGTAACAATCGTTATTAATGAACGTTGCCATTTCATCGGAAAAAAGGGCTCGCTGCGCTCGCTACAACATATGTGCCACATAAGTGTGGTTTCGAAATTTTGCGTGCTCTTTCTCTTTCTGAAAAATAATCACAAACCCCAGCTGAAAAAACGCGTTTCGTTGAACAACTTTTCTACAACTATAGCTATGTGTGTACTAGCACAAATAAATATCACCCTATAGACGACAAAACACGTGCCTCCAGCTGGGATCGATGCTAGAAAAGTCACTCGCTTTCGACGCGGAAAAATATATAATCTAAACGTTGACGCGTCTGCAGCTGTTGATCGATCGCGACGTTGTCGGGTCGATAAGCACGACGATCTCAGACCATGATTTCGGTGGTGTAGTTGCGTCATTCGTCCGACGGCGGTCCGTAAAAAATAAGCTCGGGTATCTGTCCACCCTGCACTCCGGTGCCATTGGTGCTCTCAGAGCTGCACTGGAACTGAAAGGTGACGCTGCCCACGGTGGCCTCGCTCATACCCTCTTGGCCGAAATAGCTGAGCTCGCCGCCGTCCAGTATCGCGCTGGCCGTGTAGAAGTTCTCTGGCTCGATCTGGATCGGGTTCTCGAAGTATACGTGGAACGTGTTGCTCGAGCCATCGGAGAAGAACTTGGTGTTGTTCTCGGATAGTACGCGGCCCAGCCGCTTGAGCTCGATGCGCACGTTGTACTCGGACGCGCCTGACGAGCTTCCGTACAGCCCGAACCCAACGACGAAGATCCGCTTGTCCACGCTGAACTGGATCGAGTCGCAGCGGCCCCTGTAGCGCCATTGGTTTGATCGGTACGCGCAGGACTGAAATCTATGGCACACCTGCGAATCGGCAAAACAAAATTTCCTTGGCTTAGTTATCATTTTTCGTCGCGTTAATCCCGGGGTAGTTTATTCATCGTTGCAGAAACCTGGGTTTTCAAGCCCTGCCGTGGCTTTATGGGGAAGCAGAGCTGGGGCTTCGTGCTGGCGATAAAGTGGAGAAAAATATCGATGGTCTCCTGCTGCGTGAGAATACCCGTCTGCGCGACGCTGTTGGCGAACTCTTCCAGGTTCATAGCAGGCAGTCTAATTAAATTCAAAGCAGAACCTGCAATTAAATTCGACGATACAATCTTTACAGTTATTTTTTGGGTATAGTTTTGCTGTTCAGACATCCGGCCGAATATATGCTTACCCAATAATCGTCGCTGGTTGTTCGGTGTCGGCTCGAGATCTTGCCTGAGACACTCGGCGTGCGCCCATCTCAGGGCGGCGTTCCACAAGTGTATCTCCTTGCAGTTGAGCGTTTCCCGTGACAGTACCGATTCGAGCGTGTGTATGTCTATCTCGACGAAGCCCTCCGATCGCAAAGCCATCTCTGCCTGTGGAATATTTTTTTTCATTGCGTTAATCGGTTTATTCACATATAATAGTATTTTTTTCGTATTTGTTGCTCTTTCTGAGTTTTTCTTATAAGATTACATATAAAAAAAAAAAAAAGCAAGCTATTNTCGACGACGCCGATGAATCCAGCTCGCCCGTCGACGACATCCTCCGTACAATATATTCAATGCTTATCGATATATTTTTGCTCTGATTTTTTTTTTCTTTTTCTTTTTTCTCCTTTCAACGTCCTGCATGCCGTTACCGCAGCATCCTACACTGTGGCACTCGCTGTGTATAGGACACCTACTCTACGATCCGTGTATCTGTTCTCTGCGTTGACTGTTGCTCTTTTCGTTGAACCTTTTCCCTCTCTCGCTCATCGACTCCAAAAAATCGGTGTATATATAGGTATAGATATTTTGATTTTTAACATTTCAGCAACATTTTACGATATAATTGTAATTTCGGCAATTCGGAAAATAAACACAGCCTTAAAATATATATATAAATCACAAATATTTTAAAATTATTCTCTTGTTTTGTCGACATTATATACACAGACAGTACACATCGGCGGACGAATCCGCCCATTATTTTTAGACTTCCCTTGAAAACGTAGCCCAACTCACAAAATTTTCATTTCATACGATAGCGGTTTTCAAAGTAAAAAATACTTAAAAAATTAACGTCTTGCTTATCGCTTAAAATTAACACAAAATTCCTTCGACAGCAAATCCGAAAAACGCGCGTCCTCGAGACGAAAGAAAGCATACTTGTTGATACGTATAACGTAATGTACACCCATCCTGAAACGAATTGACAAATCGAAGAATTCAATTTCCGCAATAAAAAAAATTGTAGCTCGAAAGCAATCGATTTCGCTTGTAAGAGTAATAAGATTCCAATCTCCGTTGTTCTAAAATCTAAATGTAACGCCTCTAACTCTATCGACAAAACGTCACCTATCAGTCAGTGATTCTTGCTACTTCTATACTGTTAATAGCACCAATACGTGTGCGGCCATTGGCAGTTTCCTCGCAATTGTCACAATACGAGGACAATAGTCTGAGATCATAATTATTCTCGCAATCCTTGCAATCTTCCGTGAAACTATCCTTATAAGTGATGTTCTGTATGACCTCGACATCGAGTCTACTGTCGAGAGAGTATGGTTCGCTTCTCGCGCGGCTCAGTGCAAACCGTTCTCGAGCTCTGTTATCGCTACCCATCAACTTAACGTCGAACAAAAAGCAGTTGCTCTCCGACAGGCTTAAAGGATAGGAGGCGAACATGAATTGTTTGTTGCAAGGAGTTGCCTGTTGCTGCAGGCGCTCGTCGAAGGCGCAACCACTCGAGGAGCCCTGCCTGCGGAGGAGCTCGTCGTTGTCGATCTGCTGGCGGCCCTGCCACCTTTGCAGGGTCTGTTTGTTCTCGCACGATGACAACGAGTCCTCCTCCTCCTCCTCCTCCTCGTCGTCCTCCTCCTCCTCCTCCTCTTCGGAGTTCCAGCAGCTCGGAGCGCGATACAAAATACTACAGTGAGACTCGACGGAGACAGCGTCGTGACGCGCGGTATTATTGCACCCGGTTGCGGCGTCGCTAATTGACGATGATGATTTTAGGGTCGGACTTACTTGGGCGTCAATCACCTCCCAGCAGCGCTGCATGAGATCGGGCTCCTCGAAAAGCCGGGACTGACTCAGCAGTAGACACGCGTTCTTGGCGTTCAGACTCGTTTCTAAAAAAGTAACGCAGGCGCGCGCTAAATGCGGCACGATGTACTTCTTCGCGACGTACAGGGTAGCCAGCACGGTGTCCGCCTCGAGCTTCACGTCGTCGCAATACATGTACCTGTGAAAATGTACGTACAATTTTTCGTTTTAATTTTTTTTTTTTGAAACAAAAGTGGTTTACTCCAACTCTCTTCCTCTCCAGTTTCCCCCCTTACCCCNTTATTAGACAGCAACGATTTCAACTATAGCTGAGAAGAGTTTTTTTTTTTTTTTTTTTTTTTTTTTTTTTTTTTTTTTTTTTTTTTTTTTTTTTTCTTTCAATCGAAACGGTCGACAACTTTTTGTTTTACCTCAACAGAGCCAAAAACGCGGCTGGCTCCACGTCGGGCACCTCGATTTCTTTTTTATTTTCCGCCAAGCCTCCGTAAAACATGGCATAGAAAACCGAACTGCCAGTGGCTAGTACGTACTTGTGCGCTGGAATGGTCTGCGTGTGACCTAGAAATTTTCATTTTTAATCTTCAAGCCCGAAACGTGTTCATCTCTTCCCCAACACACTCCGATTGGATAACTTAATATACCTGGACTCCCAACGATAAACTGAACATCCGCCATGAGTGGATTGTTGAACATCGCAGCATTTCTTTCCCTGATTGTTGGCTTCGTGGCCTGCCAATTGGGATCCTGGGTGCAGTCCTCCAAAGTCAATAAGTTGAAGGTCTGGGTGATTGGGGATATGGTGGAGAGCGGCGAGGCGGGCGTGCTCAGTGGCTGGTTAATCGCTCCTTCTCTCTGCAAGACTATTGACGACGAGATCGGACTGACTGACGGTGGTGACCCTGACACAGTTGGCGATTCAGCTGAAAACACAAGAAACACGAAAGATACGTTTTAACATGTGGAATATAACTGGGTCGCGTTAATATCACTGCGATGACTGTTTATATGACTTTAAAAACAAAAACAATTATTTCATCTTCGTTTAATTTCATAAAACGACGTAAACTTGTTGAGCCTCAAGCGCGCATGCACTCACGGACGAATACAAGACTTTATTTAAATGACAGCACGTACATAACAATGTAATGTATGAAAAAAAAAAAAAAAAAATTTCTCATTTCAATACTTCAAATGAAAATTAATTAACCAAGTGTCGCTGTACGTTTTCCGCTGTTTCGCTGACAAGATCCCATCCTCCTGAATTACATAATACTACAATCAGTCATGTTCTCCTTTCTCCTCGTGGACAACACCAACATGATCCTTTGGATGCGAAAACAAAAAGATAAAAGCCTCGCGACTCGAAAACGAAAGGAAAAAAAAAAAAAAAAAAAAACCCAAGACAGATGAAATCGGAGCACACCAGTAAGTAGGTGTACTTAACTAAGCAGCGGTGAACACTACATTGTAGATGAAAATTTCATATACGATACTTGAGTGTGCTGCAGTGCAGCAGAGAGAATCGCGAAACGGAGCCCATGTCACGCAGACTGCAACGACAGTACTGGACTCTGCGTTATAGGCGAGGCGAGAGAGAGCGAGTGCAAAAAAAAAAAAAAAAAAGTCGCCCGTGCTCTAGCAACTATGACGTGTTAGCAGCGTGCGACGCTGGAAAACGAGGTCCTTTATCGGGCTCTCCCCCCTGTACGTAGCTTCTGTCCTCCTCTTTATCCCTCAGCTCTTGAACGTTGCAAAGAAAAAAGAAATCGAGGATACATATATATGTTATGTTGTATACACATAGAGTTGTAGGTGTACCTATAGAATGGCTCGCAATCGCAAATCGTTTGATGCATATAGTATACGTATACAATGGTAATAATAGTAATAATCAGGTAGTGTATACGCATGTACGCAAATTCATGATATACGCGAGGAAGACGAGCGCGCGCGCACTTGGGTCATCGTGTAACCCTCCACCATCCACAGAGAGAAAGATATAGTCACACCAGTGGGGTACACAAGACACCTAGTGTGTGGGGGGGAACCAATATATAGGTTAATTCGAACGTCCATGCATACCGTTGTCGCCGTTGAGGGCAGCTGCTGGCCTAGCTGTGCGCTTTGTAGCCGGGGACGAGGACGAGCTCGACGACGCCGATGAATCCAGCTCGCCCGTCGACGACATCCTCCGTACAATATATTCAATGCTTATCGATATATTTTTGCTCTGATTTTTTTTTTCTTTTTCTTTTTTCTCCTTTCAACGTCCTGCATGCCGTTACCGCAGCATCCTACACTGTGGCACTCGCTGTGTATAGGACACCTACTCTACGATCCGTGTATCTGTTCTCTGCGTTGACTGTTGCTCTTTTCGTTGAACCTTTTCCCTCTCTCGCTCATCGACTCCAAAAAATCGGTGTATATATAGGTATAGCTCTTGTGCGTGTTATTATATGGTCACATCCTCCATCATCGTCGCACTCGTTGAACAATATCCTCACGAAGCATTTTCTGCTGCACCTTATAATACACACACACATGCAGATAGAAGAGAGACAACTTTCTTGCTGCATCGGTGCTTTATATATACATATATGCCTATAGTGGAGTCGCGTGTAGGCGTTTTGTATTCATGGCATACGTCTATATATATAGACATGTCGTGCACGATGAGCTATAGACTAGAGCTAGCTTCGCTAGCACATGAGTTCCTGATATCTGCGCGCGCCCCTTGAAGAAAGCCTGTGCTCCGTTTTGGATTTCGTGTTTTGATCGAGGAGGTGTGGAGAGGAGGAAGCTCCCCACAAGGCACGCTTGCGCCCTAGCAACCACCCTTTCGGGGTGTGTGGTGTGATTTATATATATATATATATTGACATTATACGCTTTTTGTTTATAAGTAGGCACACGAAACTGGTGTGTTGACATTGCTTGTTATTGTTGTCTCGCTTTGAAAGCGTCGTCTGCTCCGAAATGTGTTTTTTTTTTTAATGAAACAACGAAATAGTATACTGTACTTGGTCACGTAACTTATTCAGTAGCTTTTTGAAATCCTTATGTTATTACGCAAAAAACGAGGAAAAAAAAGAAACCTCATATGTTAATGGTCCTTCCCATAAACAACGTTGGATAGCCATCCATGATAATAAACATAAATTTATCAATCAATACGGCTGTTCTGCTTCTACTTTTATTACCAATAGGGGCGCGACAGAAATGTCAATTGGAGCCTATTACCGTCAATAAAAGCTCTACATGTACATGTATATATATATACACGTATCGATTAATTGAGCGCACATTAAAAAAAAGCAACGTAGTGCGAGAATATATTTTACTCCGAATCGTGTGACATTGGTGTGAGTATATGTATTGATCCGTTGTGGTATAGGTATAATGACTTTTGACAAAGTGTATTTCGACGACTTCTCGCGTGTACTGTACCACCGATAACGAAAAAAAAAAAAAAAAAAAGAAAGAAAGCTCCCAACAAGCACAACTGAACATAAACGTATAATCGTTAATTATGTGCGCTGCACAGGTGCGTATGTAATTATATTCATTAGACGCCGAGCGAACGATACCACCAAACCGCGGATTTATTTACTTGCGCGCTCGGCGGCAGCGGCGTCGTTGGCCTCAAAGTGAACGAACTCTGGCGTCTGACGCTGCCGCCGCATAGACCAAAGTGCAAGAACCCTTTCGCCCCCCTACTTGTACATCGAAGCTTGCAGCGACCATCCACCGAATGGAGAAAAAAAAAAAAAAATAAGAAAAATACTGGCTCCCATCAAGCCTTTTTTGAAAAATTAATGAAAACAAAGAAAATATACATCTCTCGACCACCGCCCACCCACCGAGGTGTATATACAGTAAGACTCGTTAGCTTACCATTGACCCAGGCATTAGTCTGGGTGACGGCTATGTTGTCCTGGAAGCGTTTGACCGGCTTGGTGGCGATCTTCGAGTAGAGGTTCGACATCGCCATGGCCTCGGCCGCGCAGCAGCGGCCCGTCAGCAGTAGCTGCAGCTCCGGGTCCTCCTCCTCGTCCGTCTTACTATCGCTATCGGACACCTGTCCCGGTCCTAACGTAATAACCCCCTTCCTCCTCGCCAATGTAGGCTGTACTTGTTCCGTATAAACCCGCTGATGACGGTGAGGGGCAAAATACGCTGGGTGACAACACAGGACAGGAGCGACTATTCGTCTGCGATGATGCTGGGTTGCCTCGAGACCCAGCCTTTGGTATCGTCGTTGCCTGTCCCCCCCCCCCCCCCCCCACCCCTCGCGCTTGTCTTTCGCCTATACCCGGCGCGCAGATACGGCCTGCGCGCGCGCGACTTGTACCTCTCTCGTGTGTGCTACGCCCGCTACGATGATACTTGGGTATACCTATATACTTACTCGCGGAGCTGAAAAAACACATTGTTCGGTGCACCCCACACCCATCAGCACTTTGATATTGTAATTAAGTACAGGCTTGGGTTTTATTAGCGCGCAGGTATACCTCCTGATTTAAGTTTGCAGTACATCAATGACGACCACGCAATTTTTTTTTTTTCTCAAACAGGGCTCGTTATTAGACAGCAACGATTTCAACTATAGCTGAGAAGAGTTTTTTTTTTTTTTTTTTTTTTTTTCCTCGACAAAACGGCTCCAAGTTGCTCAGGGCGAGGAGTGCCCTAGTGACCAATGAAAGATGTATGAATAATAATAATGAAAAAAAAAAAAAGTTTACTTACTGGAAGCACGAATTTGAATGACTATATATATAAACTCTCATAATTATATGGTGCACGAATGAAAAGCCGCATACCTTGGGGTGTACGAATTTTTATATTTGTGTCATTCATACCTTTCATCCTGGATTTGTCGCTCTTGCCAGTCATAAATTTTATTTGAGTGTCCCATGGAAGTCTCGTATATGTGCAAGATGTAAAAATTCCCGAGCACCGGCGATTCGCTTGAAATGCTTTCTTTATAAAAATAGTTTATCCGCAACTTGTGGTTTGTTCTACTTTACCTTGACCAAATCATGATGCTCAGAGAAAAACAGTTTTTCAACAATTTCCTAATCAATGTATTCTTATTGCAAAATATACCTACTTGGTGAAAATAAAAGCTCAAATTTCCCGCGGTAAATCCGAAAACATAATTTTTTCCAGAACATATCTTTTGTTCATACGTACATTACTACCACAGGTATGTGAAATCTAGATACTTTTGTTCGTCTACTTTGCTTATCGACACACCTTATCTTTATCGTCTCTTTCTACAGTGGCAACTGTCACAAGCGTGTACGGACTGTTGCAACAGCCATCAGCTATGAGGCGTTTCATCTCAACTCACACACCCAGCCGCGCAAGCTAAAAAATACCTACTTTTCAGTCAATGATTACAATCACGTAAAGTACTAAATAAAATTATTAAAAATACAGGATCAATGTATTTTTTCCTCAGCTTTCTTATGCAATTTTCGGAATCACAAAAAAAATAAAACATAACCTCGAAAAATGAAAAACAAAAAAAGAAAGCGTTATATCTCGAAAAGTCCATTTTTTTTCTTTTTTTTTATGGCTCCAATCGAAAGATCAGGTCTTTTTACGTCGGTATAGTAATTTTCAGGAAGGTGTTATTTTTTTTTTT